AGCAGTGACAATCTTCCCTCTCCTGCCCATGTAGCCTTTTGCAGACAGGGAGTTGGCAGACACTAGGTAAGAATCATTCATTTTAAAAATTGTTTGGATAAAATTGTTTAAAAGACACTGGGGAAAAACTCTTTTGGCATTGGAAGAAGTGTTCTATATTCATCTAGAAAATTAATCTAAGTTAACCTAATAGCTTACTCCACAGCTACGCTGGTTGGGTCAGGAGTATAGGGGAGGGATAGCAGTGCAGCTGTCAGAACCAGGGCGACCCAGCCGAGGTTTGGACACCTTGTTCTATGTGGGCCTGGACCTGTACCAGGACCTGTCATTGGAGGTGAGGAGGGGGAGCAGTCCTGGCTTTCACTCTTACTTTTAGCTATATTAAGAGTCACTGCTTTTCTGGGTTTCCATTTCCTCAAATACAGTACCCAGGACCAAACCAGTGGTTTTCAGAATTCCACAAAGGAGCTTCAGGGGGCTCTGTGCACCGCTTGAGGGAACCTGTGGTTCAGAGACATTTGGGATCCACCACTTATTACCTGGAGCAGCTGTACTCTCATCGGCTCACTGGGTGGTGTGCCACAGGAAAGTGTCCAAAATTAATATCCTACTGCTTATCTTTAGCCCCTCTCTCCTCAGCTCCAGAATCCTGATAGTGTCCAGGGAGGAGATTAGAAATTGAAAAGGACCAACCACATCACAGCAGGCTTATTCTTCAGGCCCAGGCGCTAGGCTGAATTCCTGCCAGGGCAGCCAAGAGGAAGGGGAGCTTGTGGTAGGGCAGGAGGCAGGTCAAAGGTTACAGGACAGAAACCAGAGTGGAAGGCTGGTGCTATAGGTTACCTTGGTAGTATTCACATGTCCTTGCTGGCACACCCTATCAGTAAACAAAAACAAATAGAGTCAAACTTCATTTCTCCACCAAATTGTTCATGGAAAAAATGTCTCAGTTGTGGAACAAAACTTCAGTTTTCCACCTGACAACCCTTTCACGCTGATACCCCAGCGTGACAAAACTTGTCTCTCAGGCAACAAAGGAGAGAGAATGTTTTTGTTGCTGGGAATTAGCACAATTTTAAAACATAATGAGGCCATCAAGATTGCTAATGTTGGTAAGGGTGTGAGAGTGCTCAGAAGAAAACCAATCACTATTGAAGAGGTAAAAAAAATCGTTGGTTTAGATAAAGGAAAAGCAGCTAGCTAATGATAGCATTTCAGAAGCAAAGCTGCATGAAAAAACGAAGACATTGCACACCACCTCCTTAAAGACACCCCTGTAGCCGGGTAAAGATCCCAGGTGCTTTAAGTGATGCATTTAAGACTAGTAAAGGGCCAGAATCCGTTTGGTTCAGTGGATAGAGCGTCGACCTTCAGACTGAAGGGTTCCAGGTTCGATTCCAGTCAAGGGCATGTACCTTGGCTGCGGGCACATCCCCAGTAGGGGGTGTGCAAGAGGCAGCTAGTTGATATTTCTCTCTCATCATTTTTAGCTCTCTATCCCTCTTTCTTCCTCTCTGTAAAAATCAATAAAATATATATTTTTAAAAACTAGTAAGGGATGTTCAATAAATTTAAGAAGTGTTATAGATTAAGCATTACAGTAGACGTGTCCTGTAATGCTATAAAAAGGTTAAAACAGGGAATCATTTGTGGGTTTGGAAAGGATTAATTCAATTTACATTATTGAATTTGCATGATCGGTTTTCGAACAAATTGCTTCTCGAACAGTCTGCTGGAACAAATTAAATTCGAGAATCAAGGTTCCATTGTAAATACATAATTTTGGAATCAGCATCTCTCAAAAATATATACACTTATTTACTATAAATTATACATTTGATATTATTATGCTAATGTTTTCTATGCTAATAAAAGGGTAATATGCTAATTAGAGCGGACGTCTTCCAGATGTCCATCTGGTCATCTATTTGGACAAAGCCACAGAGGCTGCAAGGCCGGGGCTCAGACCTTGCAGCTGTGGTGGCCAGCAGTGGCAGCAGCAGCAGGGTGATGGAGTCAGTGCCTTCCCCTGATCATCCTGGTCGCCTCCTGCAAAGGGAGACCAGACTGTGGCTTAGGCCTGCGTGGGCATAAGCTATCAGTAGGACATTCCCTGAGGGTTCCCAGACTGTGAGAGGGGGCAGGTCGGACTGTGGGACACAATCCCCCCTCCCCCAAGTGCACCAGGCCTCTAGTGTACATTATAAAACCACAACAATTGATTTTTGATTTTTTTTAAAGATGAGAATAATTAAGAGGTACTATCCATTGAATCATCTTGCATACCCATTGAGGTATTTGTACCCCACTGTGGAGAAGATGGGGGTAGCTGGGGGGGTGGGGGGGAGGCAGCTGAAGGTGGTTGGTGGAGGTGAAGGTGCAAGGACATGAAAGATTGATGGTTCCCAGTCAGCACCATTTCCTGCTCATTGCCGCATCCATGTGCTACTTGCACTACTGTTTGCTCAGTAGTTCTCTGAATCCACTAGTTTTTCCCCCTTAAATTTAGCCTCATCCTAAGCAGTAACACCCCCAAAAGAACAGATTTTCTGTGCAGTTAGAATTTTCTTCTAATGCACATTAAAATAAATGCAAAACTGTGCAAAGAAAACATTTGCCCACATACCACGTAAAACTCATGTCAGCCCCACCTGTGTAGTGGGGGACAGCCCTGTAGGAGACTTTAGTCAGTGGCATCTGACTCCATACCACAGTGTTGAGGTAGAGGCTAGTGAGAGCAAGGATGGGCCGCCGTCCCCTGCCAGGGTCTGGGCCCATATGAACCTGTGAGGGGTGCACTCCTCCACCCCATAGGATAGTCACAAACAGTCATTCCTGAGAATCCCAGAAGGGTGGTGGGGATGTGACACCTCCCTATGAGAATACTGCACAAATTGGATGCAGGATGGTGGGGCTGTGGATCACCCCAACATACATTGCAGCTGCCAGAACCTCGCACATTGGGATAGACCAGTCATTCATTTGTCCATTCCAGAGATCTCTATTGAACACCTTCCATGTGTCAGGTCCTGGGCTAGACACTGGAGTAGTAGCGGAGAGCAAGGCAGCTAAGGCAGCCACTCTTAGGAAACCCACATTATAGTAGGGGAAAGCAGGCAGGCAACAAGCAAATCAATAAATAAAAAGTATAAAAACCAGGGAGTTATAATGCTATGAGTGAAATCAAGATAAGCATGGAGGGGACAAATCTATCCAGAAGAATTTCAAATGATTTATGTAGCTATTACCCCCTTAAGGAGAAAGAACCTAACTCCCCACTTCTTAAGTGTGAGCTGTGCATCATGCTTGCTTTCAAAGATTATGGAATGAAAGGGGTACAAAAGTACCTTTCCAGTGGAGAAACCTAAGCAGCACACGCTTGGCCAAGTGATGCCGATAACATCCGCAGTCATGAGTCATGTTGATACCCTGTACCTTTGATATGATGTGATGAGAAGGGCACTTCCCCTCTGTGGTCTTCCTCCCAGAAACCCCTAACCCCATTCTAATTATCAGAAAAGCATCAGTCAAACCAAACCCAGATTGAGGGACGTTCTGCAAAGTATCTGACCAGTTCTCTTCAAACCATAAGGTCATCAGAAGCAAGGAAAGTCTGAGAAACTCATGGCCGAGAGGAGCCTAAGGAGACATGATATAACACGGTATCCTGGATGGAATCCTGGAACAAAAAAGGGTATTGGGAGAAAACTAGGGGAATCTGAATTCTGAACGATACAGTTTAATTAATCATTTGAAGAGGTAAAGGAAAAACGGGTGGAGATGGTCTCGAGAGGTCTATGAGATGGTGACATCTGAGCCTGACATGATGGGGTTGAGTCGTGCTTGGGTAGGGAAACCTGGGTGAGAGCACGGCAGGCAGAGGAAATAGCCGGGTAAAGATCCCAGGGCAGAAACATGCTTGGGCCAGTCAAAGAAGAGTGAGAAAAGCTTAGCACAGCTGGAGTGGTGCTGGTGGGGAGGGCCAGGAGGTGAGGTCAGAGGTGGATGGGTGCCAGGCCGTGCAAGGCCTTGACGCCATAGAGGCATTTGGATTTCGTGCTGAACGTGAAGTGAAGGCAGTGCGGAGTTTTGAACAGAAGGGTGACATGAGCTCATTTCCACTTAAAATCACTTGGGTCTGTGTGAGAGAACAAGCTAGGCAAGCAAGCAAAGAATCAGTGGCCAAGAGGGGGCTCCTGGGTGAGGCCAGGGACGGCGATGGCAGAGGTCATGTCAGAACCAGGGTGCTCCCACCTTTCTGGAAACAAATCAGGTTTACATTTTAATCATCTCCCCAACCCCCATTTTGTCTCCCGAAGATGCGGGAAATGAACCCAAGTCTGGGTTCCAAGAACTATTTGAAGGTCTATACCTGTATGTCAAAGAACTCTTAATAAAACACCTTACAGCGCAACAACCATCATCTCTCATGCAGGATGTTTTCCTTCATTGGTTCATACCTCTTTCTGAAAACTAAAATGTGCCCCATGCTTAAGTCAGTTGCTACATATTGCCCTTCTTTAATTGGGAAAAATAAAACATGGTTCCTAACCTCTCTGCGCCTAGAAGTTGTAAATAGAAAGGGGAAAACAAAAGGCTTCAGACAGATCAAAGCTTTTTCTAACATATAAACAGTTTCAGAGTGTTTCCAGAGAATTTGGTGAATGTCTTATTAACCACATGTTTCCTTGCTGCTTCAACTCTTTGGGGAAGGAAGTGTGGTATCAATAAAGTAAAATAAATTACTATTTTTTTAAAAAAAAACACCTTGAAATAAACAAAATTGTAATTTGTTTTTTGTCACAATCAGGGCCCCGGTTCTTGCTGATGCCCTATGAAAGGGAAGAGAGCATGTTGCTGGTGCTCCTGTCACTAATGTTGAATATTTTTGCTTGATGTGTCAGGAACAGTTTCTGGGGCTGTCTTCAACCACGAGTATGTCTATAAACGAGGTCTGGGAAGCTATCTGGGCTCATCCCAGTCTCTGTGTTTGCTTCCAGAGATAGAGATGGTGATCATGGAGCGCAGCAAGCTCCCAGAGCTGGCGGCCAGCACCTCCATGCAGGAGCAGAACACCACAGATGAGGAGAAGAGCGCCGCCACGGGCTTGGAGAGTGTGCAGTGGAACAGGTGGGAGGCCCAGCCTGGCAGGTGGGGTACACTCGTGCTGGTGCTGGGGAGGGCCACCCACAAGCCAGCCTGGGGGTTCTGCTCAGCCTCTGGGATAAGAGTGGGTGCTTTGGCTAGGGTGCCCCCTAAGGATAACTCTGGGCCTCTTCCCACCACCCTAATACTTCAGTCCTTGGCCACCAGAGATCCAGCTCTTCTCGAGAGGCATAGGGATGGAGCTGACACTCAGCACTCTAGGGCAGCGGTTACCAACCTATCGGACCTCACGGACCACCAGTGGTCCGCAGACCATCGGTTGGTGACCACTGCTCCAAAGGTTCCTTAAACCAGCAGTCGCCAACCTTTTGGACCTCATGGACCACTGGTTGGTGACCGCTGCTCTAGCACACTCACCGCTTGGAAAGAGAATGAGCAAGACATGTCTCCATCACCTCCCCCCTCCCCCCCCAACCCCCAAGCACTGTAATTCTGGGCCCTGTTTTAAAGGGTATGAGAGGCCCTATAACCTTGTACTGGCCATTCCTGGAAGACCCTGGGAGCAGTGTTTGGGTCTCCCTGTCTCATTCATTCTCTGCCACGCACATGGCTATCCACAGGGCCTGCCCTCATGACTCTGCCAGTATGATTTAATGCTGCTGTCCACCTTTGACTTGGTGCCTGATTGTTTATTTCAGTGATGGCTCGCCAAAGCTACATGCACTTAAACCTTCGAGATGTCACATTTCCTGGAACCTTGCTATAGCACCACCCCTTTCGGAATAGACTTGGGTAGAAGACTGCTCCCAGGGTGTGCAGTGAACTATTAGGAGGGCTCCATGTCTACTGGCCCCACTGCACAGATCCCTGTAATAATCTCCTAATCCCGCTTTGGTGTTAATAAATGCACAGCAACATGGCTCCCATGTCAGCCTACAGGGAATTCATTTCCTGAACCCTGAGGGTGGGGTGGTTGAAATTCACACAAACCCCCACCCAGTTTATTAATCCTACTGGAAGTGAAGAGCTGCAGCACACTGTTTTCCCTCCATGTCTTACTTATCTCTTTTCTTGGCAGATGTTTCAGTTACCTAACAGGATTAATTTTTATCAGATGCACAAGGGAGCCGTTTTTAGTTTTGGGTAAATGGAACACACCGGAGTGCAGTGTGGGTTATTGGTTGTTGTAACTTACAAAGACCTTTTTGATTTTGTTTGGCAGCAAAATATGTAACTTCTGGGTGCCTTGGCTGGGGTGCCTCCTAAGGATAATCCTGGGCCTCTTTCCATCACCCAAATGGAATGGGAATTAAAGAAATCATTCTAAACACAGAAAGAAAGGGGAAGCAACCTTTAGATGCTTGGCACAGCATTAGTTAGACTATGACTAATTGGAAAAACCACAAATGACTAGAAGTAGGGGATGCTCAAGCAAATGAAGGTGCGTCTGCTTAATAGATTATTGGCTCTTGCTTTTAAGTGAATACTGTTATTATGTGTTCAGTTTCTTAGGACCCAGTAAATGGAAACAGAACGCATAATAGTATTTTACATACTATGGCAAAACTATAGTTTTGCTAAAGGAAGAAAAATATCCAGTGTTGTCTAAAAAGAAAAGGTGAACAGACCAAAATGTTATGTTTGAATGTTGGGGTTAACACTTCTTTTTCCCCCTGAATTTAGTGAAGAAAGGGATTTTCTTAGAGTTGATTGAGATTGTTCCTTAACATTTGGTGACTTTAACTGGCATATTCTACCACATGGTTTACAATGGAAGCTAATCCTGGTGCCGTGAGATGGGTGGCCCCAGGAATTTTTGGTTTCTAACCCTGCTCTATCCTGGGACTGAAAGCCAAGGAGAGTGGCCCAGGTGGGAGTTGTCTTATCTTCTCTTTGAAAAGGTATTGAGTTGTTGGTTGTCAGAAACGCCGCCAAGGACTTCTGTCCTCCCAGTTCCTGGCACTGAGCAGGGAGGGGGGCAGTTTGTTCTTGACATGAATTGGATCTTGACATTGGTATACTTGTTTGAAAAAAACAGCATAATACAAAGTGTAACTGTTCTTGCATATGGGCTATATCTGTATTCAGGGTTGGATATATGCCAAGAAACTAAAAGCCATTCAAAGTATTTTCTTTAAAATAAAAAAATAAAAAAAAAGTTTTAAAATGTGTAAAGAAGGAAAATAAGATTTCCATGATGTCAGCATTCAAAGGCAGCTGTTACTAACATTGTGATTATTTCTTGCCAGTTTTTTTTCAATGCCAATTCTGTGGGAATTCTTTCCTCCTTCCTCCCAATAACTTCTACCATCCCATATTTGTAATTTTCTTCTTCTTTTTTTTCTGCCTAATCAAACCCCAGACTCTTTTTCATTTGTTGTACTCTTAGTAAACAAAATGCTAATGGCTTCATAATACTTCATTTCATAAGAGATGATACATCCTCCCAGCCCTCCCTCTGCTCCTGGGCATTTGGTTATTCACATTATTCCCAAATGAAAATACAATCCAAACTCCAAGCAGCTGGTTTATAAGAAAGCATTTTCTACTTTATCCCACTTTTAATTTGAAAGTGCTATGCTGTGGACTTAGAAAAACCCAAATGCACACATTGCAAAGCTATTCACGCATCTGAAAGGTGATGCTCAATCTGGGACCCAGGGAAACAGCCCAAACATAAACATTCCCTTTAAGGTTCTACCTTTCATTTCTGTGTGTCCCATGTTGGTTTGAAATGTATGACAAGTACATTTTCACTACTTTCTCTTTGGCATTTTTCAGTGTATATTTATGGCTTTCAGAATTCCAAAAAAAAGTAAAGCAGGTTATGTGGTGCTTCTCTGTCACAATTTCACCCTCTCAGACAACCCGTGTTGACAGTAGCTGGGTGTCCTTCCAGGGATCTAGTGTGCCTTTGGTCACTCATTGAGGCGCTCTGCTCTCTTGGCTTAAGCCTGGCATCCAGAGGGGCAGCCGCAGACAGTCACGGGATCAGAGCCTCTGGCCTCAGAGCCAGAACTGCATATTCTATTTCCCTTGTGTGGAGTCTTTCCCAGCCAGGCCTTCACCTGGAAGGGCAGCATTCAGGGTGTGCGGTTTGTGATATTCGCAGCCACTCCATAGATCTTACCCACAAAGCATCAGAGGTGGGAGACCTCATCGATTCTCAACAGCCAGGGAAAGTCAGTCCAAGAAATTGCTGGGCCAGGACCTCTTGAAGTGAGATCATGGAGAAATGCCCTTGAAATATTCAAAGTAGAAATCAAACCACAATTCCCGTGTACCAGCACTTTCCACTGTGTACCTGGCCCTGTGTTAAATGCCTTTCAGATTCATTTCAATTGAATCCTCATAATAACCTTGTACGGATTTAATCCCTATCTTACGGGTGGGGAAATCTGCGGAGTAATTAAGTGGTCTGTTCCACAGTCTCTTCCCGCTCGAGATAGCAGCTACCCTGGTCTTGTGTCTTCAGTGCCTGGTCCTGGCCTGGGCACATGGTGGGCTCCTGCATGCTGGTGGCAGAACTGTAAGAGGCAAAGACTAGCAGGTGGGAAAGGAGAAGTGTTCATCCGTGCCACGAAGCTCATGAGTGTCCCTCTTCTTTTCCAGGCCCTTCCTAGACATGGTGTACCATGCCCTGGATAGCCCAGACGATGATTACCACGCACTTTTTGTGCTCTGCCTCCTCTACGCCATGTCTCACAACAAAGGTAAGCCCACTCACTTCTCTGCCTTTCTGCCATCCCTGCCCTCTGCTGTCTGGAGGGAAGGAGGAAAGCTTCTTTTCTTGAGGAATTCATTCATGGTTTTGATGGACTCCCTCCCTCAAAACTTCTCTTCAACCTTGTTAGAATTTCTCAGGTGTTTTTCTACAAACTAAAGCCACAGGAAATGGTTACTTACTCAATATTGGGGGGGGGGGGTGTGTGATTCAGGTGTATCTGTCTGACCCAGACTCTGTATTCACACCGTGGTTTTCTTTCGACCACTTGCTTTACAATTGCCTTAGTGTCCGACCTCTTTCCTAACATCAGAACTGAAATTAGTCAAAGTGTAATCTTGGTTTTGCTATTTATAATAGCTGATGTTCTCATTCTGGGTTCTGAGCAAAAATAGATTCTAGGTGGATTGTGTGGAAGTGTAGGTTTCCTTTCTGAAGAAAGGTGTGGTTCTCCTGCTTCCCCTGCTGAGGCTGAGTGGTCAGGATCAGACTCCCACAGAGCTGACAGATTTGATTAGGGTTCATTCATTCACTTCCTCCCTGGGAACAGCCTGGTGAGTGCCCATATGGCTTGACAGAGCAAGTTCTGAAACCTCCACATCGGAACCTTTTCCAAGAAAAAAATCAAGGATATTCCTCTGGCTCCTGCCACAACTGGGCTTGGCATAGAGGAGACCTTGCATTAAGGGATGTTTTAGTAGGTTTTTCTTGAGTTTATTGGGAGGTAAGTGGAGGTGGGTTTTACTAAGCTTATGGCAAGAGACATTTAAAAAGCACTCAATATAACGTGCATCAGCACATCATTTCACCTCCCTATAGAATTGCTCTGTTCTTTTTAATCACATGTCTGTGCCACCATTTATTCTGCCATTCCCTAATTGAATGGCACTGAAACTATTTCCAGCCTTTTCCCTCCGTAGACAGGACTGACCAATGATGCTCCTCTCCCTCCACAGACTTATTCACTCCCATGGCTTTGCGATCTCCATTAGCTCCTGGCATGGTGCCTGGCACACAGAAGCCCTCAGTTATTGGAGTTACTGGGGGTAAACAGACCTCCAAGAGACTGAAATCCTGCCAGTTGCACCTGGACACTCTACCTAGGTGTTTTAGCAACACCTTGAAACACTCTATCTGTACAGTACTCATCCTCATAAATATACCCTCACCTCATCATACATTCTGGTTTAGTTGAAATTGCCAACCAAGGTTGAGACTGCCATGACCTTTTTAGCACCTTCCCTCCTTGGATCCCAGCACTTAGCCATCAAGTTTTGTCCATGCTTTCTTCAGACTATCTGACCAGAAGAGTTTACTCAGTGTAACTCAGAACGTGGCTCTAAGCTAGATGCTGGAAGTGAAAGCCAAAGACATAAGAGCAAGAGAGATCTGGGCACATCATTCCAATGGCTGTTATCACAGCTTTCCCAAGGGGTCATGCGTTTTTTTATAATCCATTTTCCATGGCATTGCAAGGTAATCCTCTATAAGACTGTTGACCGTGTCCTTCCCCTGGTCAGAAACCTTTAGTGCCTTCTTCTTTCCCTTAAACTTCACCCTCCTGTACCTATCATTTATAGTATCCATACTCACCTGTCATTCCATCTTGATGTGATTCCCCTGACTTTCCTTCACAGACCCCCAGCTCTGGCCTAGAGGTTAACATTTTTATGTAGTACTATAACTCTTTCATACAGATAAACTTGCTGTTGTGCTCATTGGACTCTTGAATGTTCTTTTGGTTATAACCAACAGAAGCCATATCTCATTAATCTAACTAAAAGGGTAAGTTTATAGGAATGCTCCAGGGGCAGCTCATAAGGTCCAAGAAGTTGCTGAAAAGCTGAGGGAAGGGCAGGAACTGACCTGCTCTGAGGACTTTTCTCAAGATAGATCCTGATGTGGCCCCAGCAAATCCCAGGCTGAGAGTTTGCCTCCATTCAAGCTCCAGATTCTTGGACAAGAGTCTGATTGTTCCAGCGTGGTAGTATCTAACTGGCTCAGTCAGATATGGCCAGTTAGCCTTGCACTGTTAGCCTGCAAGAGTTAACCCCATGAGCTAAGCCCTGTTTCTGGGACTGTTCCCTGAGAAAGGAGCTCTTTGAAATCCTGGCAGCCACCCCAGTCAGTGCCAGCGTGCCTACCTGTTTCTGGCTAGTTGGCCACCTTCTTGTATTTCTTTGTGTTTTTTTTTCCTACCATTTTCTCTATCCCATCACCACTACCTATTAACATTTTGCCTGTCAAACATCCTCTCAGTAGTCACCTTCTCCAGGAGGTTTTTCTATGATCCCATCAAATGATATGCACTATGGGTTAGTACCAGCTAATGTGGCAGGCACATTTTTCACATTACTAGATTCAATTTGCTAAAATTTGGGTTAGGATTTTTGCATCTATGTGCATGAGTGATATTGGTTGTGGTCTTCTTATAATTCTCTTGTTTACTCTCAGAGATATGCTCATTTTATGGAATAATTTGGAAGTAGTCCCTCCTTCTGAATTTTCAGTAGGAGTTTTTGTATAAGTGGTATTATTTCTTCCTTAACTTCAGTAGAATTCAGCAGTGAAGCCCTCTGGGCCTGGAGTTTCCTTTAAGGGAAAGTTTTTAACTACTCAGTTTCTTTAGTAGATATAGAGCTATTGAAGCTTATCTGTTTCTTTTTGGTGAGTTTCATCTACACTGTCGAGTTTGTTGACATACACTTGTTCATTGTATTTTTTTATTATCCCATTAATGTCTGTAGGATCTGTAATGATAGCCCCTTTCTGATGCATGGTATTAATAATTTAGGTCTTGCCGAAACCGGTTTGGCTCAGTGGTAGAGCATCGGTCTGCGGACTGAAAGGTCCCAGGTTCAATTCTGGTCAAGGGCATGTACATTGGTTGTGGGCACATCCCCGGTAAGGGGTGTGCAAGAGGCAGCTGGTTGATGTTTCTCTCTCATCGACATTTCTAGCTCTCTATCACTCTCTCCTCCTCTCTGTAAAAAATCAATAAAATATATAATAATAATAAAAAAATAATTTAGGTATTTTTTCTTTCTGGTCAATTTGACTACAGATTTATCAGTTTTATATTAATTTTATTGAATTTTTAAAATAATTTTCTTTGGGTTTTATTGATTTTTTGGTATTTTTTTTTCTGTTTCATATTGCACTAATTCCTGTTCTTATGTTTGTTTTTTATCTTTAGCTACTTCAGATTTAATTTGTTCTTTGTTGTTTCTTAAGATGGAAGGTTAATCATTGATTTTTAAGCTAATTTATTTATTTTACTTTTTAAATTAACATACAGTAAAATTAACTTTTTGTGTGTAGTTTTATGAATTTTAGTACATGTATAGATTTGTGTGAGCACCACTATAATAAGTGTGTATTATAATGTCATCAACCAAAAACTCCCTCAAGTTATTCCTATTCAGTCATACCCTCCCATACCAGTCATTGATTTTTAAACTTTCTTTCATAAAATGAGTTTAATGCTCTAAATTTCCCTTTAAGCACTGCTTTAGCTGCATGGAATAAATTTGATATATGTGATTTTATTTTTATGTGTTTTAAAATATGTTGTAATTTTCTTTTTCCCCCCTTATCTTTGCTATTATCTATGTAATTTCTAGCTATGTTTCTATTATTGATTTTTCTCCTGGTTGGCTTTGGAGTGTGTGTGTGTGTATGTGTACATACATATATGTATACTAGAGGCTTGGTGCATGAAACTTTATGCATGGATGGGGGGGGGGGGTTCCTCAGCCCGACTTGCTCCCTCTCAAAGTCTGGGAGCCCTCATGGGCAGTAGGTGACCCAGCAATCAGGGGAAGGCGACACCCCCATCACACCTCTGCTGCTGCCACTGCCAGCAGCGCAAGCCTCAGTTGGCCCTGGTTACCTGAGCCTTGGGTGGTCCTAGGCGGCTGGGCAGCTGCCATCTGAGTCTTGCCTGCATCTTGGGTGTTGGCTGCCATCTGAGGCTTGCTTGCACCTCAGTCCAGCCCTAGGCAACTAGGCAGCCAACATACGAGGCTTGCCTGTGCCTCGGGCTGGCCCTGGGCAGCTGGGTGGCTGAGGGCGTGTCTGGCCACACCATGCGTCTGCCACTCCCCTGGCTGGGCTGAAAGGACTGTGGGACTCCAGCAGGGCTAAGGGTCCTGGGTGTCGCCATCTGTGGCTATGTGTGCTGCCATCTTTGTCATGGCATGATGGTCAGTTTGCATATTCCCTCTTTATTAGATAGAATATACTAATAAAAGAGTAATGTGAAAATTGATCAGGATGCCCTCGTGGTAATGACGAAACAGCAAGATCAGCAGGGGGGTTAGTGAGGGACAACCAAACAACTGAACAGCAGGCTGTGTGGGACAACCAGGCTGGCATGGAGGGCAGTTGGGAGCAACCAGGCTGGTGAGGGGGCATTTGGGGGTGACCAGGCCAGCGGGGGGGGGGGGAGGGGGAGGAGGGAGGGGGAGGGAGTTGGGGGCAACCAGGCCAGAGGAGTGTGCAGTGAGGACCACCCAGGCCAGTGGTGGCGGGGCAGTTGGAGTTGACCAGGCCAGCTGGGCGGGGGGGGGGGGGGGGGGGGGGGCAGTTGGGAGCAACCAGACTAGCAGGCAGAGGCAGTTAGGGGTGATCAGGCTAGGGGGGCGGGGGCAGTTAGGAGTGGTCAGGCAGGCAGGCAGGTGAGCAGTTAAAAGCCAGTGGTCACAGATTGTGGGAGGGATCCCAGATTGGAGAGGGTGCAGGTTGGGCTAAAGGGAACCCCCCTCCCCCTGCATGAATTTTATGCACTGGGCCTCCAGTGTGTGTGTATGTGTGTGTGTGTGTGTGTGTGTGTGTGTACAGTTGTAAATATTACAGTGATTACAGTGTAGGATGCTGAAGTCTTTCTCCCTTTTGATATTTTTTGGCTTTGTTCTAGGACATGGATAAGTTTCTTGGAATCAGTTTGCTCCTTTTTAAAGCTCACTTTTAAGTTTTATTGGTGTGAGT